CTCATATAAACCCTCCTCTTTCTCGCTAATTAGACTCCCAGCGCTCCACCCCGGGCCTAGCTGTGGATGTCTGCATCCAGATTCCTCAGTACTTCGATGTTTTTTTGTTTGTTTGTTTGTTTGTTTGTTTGTTTTTGTGAGACAGGGTTTCTCAGTGTAGTTTCGGTGCTTGTCCTGGATCTCGCTTCTGTAGACCAGGCTAGCCTCGAACTCAACAGAGATCTGCCTGGCTCTGCCTAAAGACATGTGCCACCACTGTCCGGCATTCACAAATTTGATATTTTTTTTTTTTCCCGAGACAGGGTTTCTCTGTAGTTTTGCGCCTTTCCTGGAACTCACTTTGTAGCCCAGGTTGGCCTTGAACTCACAGAGATCCGCCTGCCTCTGCCTCCCGAGTGCTGGGATTAAAGGCGTGCGCCACCACCGCCCGGCTCAAACTTGATTTTTTTGAGTTAAACTAGAAGACATCTTTTTATTACTGATATACAGGTAAAGCAGATGAAAGATGTTACTTAATAGAGATGAAGACATTTAAATAGTGCTGATGGGAAGCAAACGTGGGGCCTCACTGAGTGCCTAGAACAGCTCAGAATTCACAGTTGCGGGGAGAGAAGCACCCTGTGCTGTCTAATATACGGGGCTTCTAGATGGAAATTTCAGCTCACTGACAAGTCCTTAGGAAGCTGTGTAGGCTCACACCCTACTCATGCCTAGAGCGTGATTCTTTGATGTAGATACAGCTAAGAACCACCAGACGTTTACAAAGACGAAAGCAAGCCGAAACAAAACCAAGATGAAATGAAACAGCAGCAGTCACAAATAGAGTAAAGACTACGCAGGGAGCAGATGGAAATCCTCCTAAAAATATACAGATATTCTCAGGGAGACACCAGGAAATATTGCTTCCATAAAATAAAAAGAGCACGCTATAAAGAAAGGAGTGATCAGAAATAAAAAGCTTTCGTAAATTAAGAAAATATTACTAGAAACACAGTTAACATGGAGCTTAAAAGCCTGGCAATGAAGTTTCTGGGGCTTTAGAGGCTCCGGAGCTGGATGATCAGACCTATGGGGACTTTGAAGTTGGAACTATGTGGTCAGGCTTCCATCATGGTCTCTCCTACTGTCTCTTGCCTTCAACATAATTTAACAATCTAAAGAGAGGAAAACAAAAACCCGGTAACCTGCCTTCCCTCTCACCTGTTTATTATCACAGAAGTCTGGTCTGTGAGTGAGCTACCGCGGCAGCCCGTCATGGCAGTCCCGGGTGTGCCGTATGCACTCTCAGTCATAGTGATGGGCCAGGTGGCCAGGTCATGTCCTTTATTTCCAAGGTCCTCTCCACTACAGCCAATGAGAAACAGCTGCAGACCTTCAAGCAAGGAGCCTGATTGCTGCTGACCAAACATTCCAAACCCCACTAGTTCTCAGAAAGGCCTGTGTGGACTCATGTTGCGTATTCACACCGAGCACAAAGGATATCCTCAGAGTGGACTGGCAGCCCAAAGGATTGCACTGAGCAGTCGAGAGCTGTGCAGGCTTCTCCCACATAAGCTCACATCCTCGGTTGACCCTTCAAAGGGTCCCACAGAGTTGGAGATGATGGCTCCATTTACATTTTGTAGCAGTGTTAACAGGCAAGAGGCAGCACTCAAGTGCAAATAGTAGACCACTGAATGGCAGCAGGGAGGACCTTCTCTTGGGAGGAACAAACTTTCCAAATTACCATATGAAGACTGTGTCCTTTAAGGTAGAATATATGGATGGATCATCTCATAGTCGATATATACATTTGATTTTTGCTTTGAGGTGAGTTCTTTTGGAGATGTGTTATGGAATTTGAAGCAAGTCACAGCTGTGATCATCTTGTACAAAATAAAGAGGCAATTTTTTATGTGACAGTGTCATAATTTGGACAGTCCCTGTCAATGATGTAATAGCCTGTGTCACTTTTTTTTTTTTGGCTAGGGTGCAAAGTCATTGAGTTTCTTCTAGACATTATACCAATATTATCACACCATACCATTTAAGGAAAATTTATATTTCACAGAACTTGTCTCAGCAGCCCAGCTTGCAGAGAAATTTTCAGTATTAAACTCGGAAGTTCTCATAATGTTTTTGACAGCTCAGTAGGAGAGCTCAACCTCTTAAGCAGGATATTAACTGTTAAACTATTTAAAACGCTAACCTATCACTTAAACTGTGTAAATGTGCATAAAGACAAACTAGCACACATGACCTGGGGGACTGATCAGATTAGGTTGTGGTTGTGGCTTTGAAAGTAGTGAGTGTCAGAATCTGCCATGGCAACAGTTTTTTTTTTTATGTTTGTTTGTTTATTTTATGACAAGCATTAGGCTTTTACAGAGGACATTGTCTCAGCTGTGGTTGTTCATGGCAGCCATCTTTCTGTACACTTGCTACCTTGTAGCTTTTAAAAACTGAGCAAACTTGCTATTTTCAGAGAGTAAAGGTGTAGTTTACTCCTTGCTCTTAATTGGGTGAAACCTTTTCTCTAAACTGTTACCTACTTTGTGAACTTTACCAGTCACTTTTTTATTGTGAATTATGAACTGGCGTAAACTTGCGCAGTTCACGTCTATTGATTATGCCAAAGTACAAAGCGCAGTTCACGTCAATTGATTATGCCAAAGTACAAATGTTTATATTCTGGATAAGACATTTCTATTCTCTGCAACATTGTTTCTTATTTTGGCATTAAAAATAGATGATGTCTGAGAAATCTGGCTGAAAATGGCTAAAGTAGTACAAAGAGAAGATGAAAACATTCAAAAGCCAGACTATTTGAACAATGGTGAAGGTGTTGTCAGAAAAAGAACACACAATTTAGGACTTAAGGACTAGAAGAAACTTACCAATGTGGCCCAGAGCAATGAGTTCACAATGTCAATGGACACTGGTGTATCAGGAAAACAGGATAAGAAAAAGATTCAGCAGGGAAAATAGCTCACTAGCTCAGTCGGTAGAGCATGAGACTCTTAATCTCAGGGTCATGGGTTCATGCCCCATGTTGGGCGCCAGATCTTGTACAATATTAGAGGGACCAGCCTTAATATTATACATCCCAGGGGCTCAGGAGAGAGAATTACTAATGGTGAGGACTATTTTCGGGGAATGAAATCTCAGCACACTGAGCTCTATAGTCCACTTGCTTTAATTCCTCTGGCATAGCAACCTATATACACAGCTTCAGTTCTGTTCTCATGCCTAGCTCCTTTCTTGCCTGATTTCTCTCCATACTTATCTACTGTTCCCTCTAAGTTCTATCTTAATTCTCTCATTTTAATTCTGTCTCATCTAGGTCCTTTTCATCTTGTTCTTACCCAGCTAGTACTTCCCCATTTGGCTCTTCCTCATCTTCCATCTCATTCCTCTAGTATTCTCTTCTAGCCCTGCAGTCTAGTTCTTCCCCATCTCAGTTTGTTCCTCTCAAGTTCTTACCTGTCTAGTTCTTCCATTCTCTTTTCTCTTCTCTGTCCTCCATACTCTACCCAGGTCTCCCT